ATATATATGAGGTAGGGTATGATCAGGTTTTGCGTGTGCGCTCGCGTGTGCATGCACGCCTCTGTGTGTGTCTGTATTTTGAAGGATTTTTATATATCTTTCCTTCCCCTGAAAAATGGGTAAAAATAGGAATTTCAAATCCAGGGATATGTACCCCAGGCTGGCTTGAAGCTTGAAATCCTTCTGCCTTAGCCTCTGGATTGCTGGGATTAAGGGTGTGTACCAGCACACCTAATTGAGGAAAGGCTTTTAAAACCAAATTTGAGCTGTGCAGCAGTGGCACACGCCTTTAATCCCAGCACTTGGGAGGCAGAGACAGGCGAATCTCTGTGAATTCGAGGCCATCCTGGTCTACAGAGCGAGATCCAGGACAGGCACCAAAACTACACAGAGAAACCCTGTCTTGAAAAAAAAAAAAAAAAAAAAAAAAGACCAACAAAACAAAACAAAAAACCAAATTTGAGTACACATTACTAAATATTCAGTACCTGTTTAGTAGAAAAATTCAAACAATGTGCGAAAAAGGTTCCTGGTCTGGGAGCAAGCTGGGAAGATATTGAAAGATCATCTGGTCTAGTCCCAAATCAGAGTAATGAGGCTGTCACTTTTCTGGTCCCCGAAATCCTCATTGTTGCCACAAAGGCTGGGCTGGGATAATTTTGAGATTATTCTACACCAAGCAAGCTTTGGGACTTAATGGTTATGTAAGTAGTTAGTATTTATTGGTTCCTAGTTTTTGCAGTATATAGAACAGCAGTGATTTAAGCAAGGGAGATCTGTATCTCTCTTCTATTAGAAGGTGAATCAGGAGCCCAGTATTCTTCTGCATTCTTGGTCTGCCAGACTTAGAGTATTTCTTCACCATCAGGGTCTATGCTGTCTGGTCAGCATGTCCGTATTCTGAACAGCAAGGTGAAGGAAGGAGAAAGGGGCCCCTTCTCTTCATGAGCGTGGTTCAAAAGTTGTACTCTTTACTTCTGCTCAAACCTTGGTGGCCAGAACTTAGTAAACTGACCATGCTTAGATGCAAGGGGGCTGAGAAGTGTCCTCTTCACCCTGTCTGGCTATGCCACTAACTACAAGCTGTAGTTCACCAGTGAAGAGGAAGTAGACATTGGGGACAACTGAGTCACTGACAAGTAAACTGTAGAGACAGGGTGGTCTGTTACCTCTTCCCACTGTTAAGAGGTGAGCTAGTGCGGGATGGTGCCATAGCCACGACCCAAGCCTAATTTGGAGGAATAATGGTGGTTCTTGGAGAGCTTGCCTCTGAAGTTCTGTTATTCAAGTTGATGGCTGCCTGTGGGAGACTCCTGCCTCGTGTTCCTTTATCTCTGAACTCCACTGTTTACTCTCCAGCATGGTGGGTGATAGCTGCCATGTGTGTCCCTTTAGTCATTGGGGTATTGACAAACAGTGGACACCTGGCTTGCTCAGGGCTATCCCAATCTTCTTCTTCCAGACCTTTGGGACTATGACTGAGAGACTAATGTTAAGTCATAGGCTTGAACTTGAGTAGTACACACTCAGAAGTAGAGAGGGCCACCTTTCATTGGAAGAATAAGAAATAGAGAAAGCTCATCCTTAGAGGAGAATGAGGAAGGTGTTGAGAGAAAGTAGCTTTCAAATATTCCAAGGACCTGAGGAGAAGTGGGGGGTGGGGGAAGAGCTGCCTGGTTACTGATTCCCTGCAGCCAAGGACTCTGTTTCACATAAGCTGAAACGTGTTCATTCTTATTTGTTAGGACTCTCTCTTAAATACATCATGTATATAAATGTATATATGCATATATATACATATATATGCATGTATATCGTGTATATTAAGCTCCTTTTTACACGGAGCTCTTAATTAAAAAAAAAAGGTGCCCTGTCTCACAGCAGAGGATATTTTCCCCCAAACACATCTTAAAATCTCATGTATCATCTTAACAGCTAATGGCTTGCAAATTTCAATTTTCTGCTTGTCACTAAAAGTGACAACTCAGAAGAGACTATAGAAATCGATTCACCTAGCTAAAGTTACCCAAAGTAGGGAAGCTAAATGGGTCAGCCAGTGGAAAGCCTAAAGCATGGCGTCTCCCTGCAAACAAAACAGCAAGGAAGCCACAGAGGAAGGGGTGGGAGGCAGTGTGGCGATTCTAAAGAGATATGGGAACCAGCTCATCTTTGTTTTGAACTGTCTTCCTCCCGCATCTGTGAGCATGTGGGTTTGGAGCAGATTATAAGTGGGTATCAGAAGACAGCACTCACTATACATGTTTAAATTGACTTCAAAGGAAAAATGGATAGGTAAGTCCCCAACTTGCTCAAATAAAATTGAAGAGTGGAGACTCAGATGAAAGAGAGTTCATGCTACAAATCTCCCCCTATGACGTATGAAATCTACCAAAAGAATATATTAGAGCCAGACTTCAATTAAGTGGAATCTAATGCATTAGAGCTTTCAATTGTTGTTGTTGTTATTGTTATTATTATTATTATTAATGCCCATTTAAATCATGTCTATAACAAAACAGATCTGTCCCAACATTGTTCCTGCCTTAGGTCTCTTAAGCTTTTTAAGATGACATTTATTTATGTAGACCCACAGAATTGGCTAAATAGTTGGGGTTGAGAGCTGGAGAGACTTTTGGACCATCTAGCACAGTGACTTAAAACCTTGGCTTCACATTATAATTCGCCTTTAGAAATCCTCATGTTAGGGCTGGAGAGGTGGTTCAGGCAGTAGTGTACCTGCCATGAACATATAAGGACGTGAGTCGGGGTCCCTGACACTCGTGTAGAAGCTGGGGATAGTTGAGCATATCTGTGACTCTAGCCCTGGGGTGGTGGAGACAGGTGGATCCCTGGAGCTTCTTGGCTAACCAGTCTAGCCAATCAGTAAGCTCTGGGTTTAGGGAGAGACGTTATCTTAAAAAGCAGAGCATGCTGTTGGAAGATATTCTATGTCAACTTTTGGCCTCTGTACCACGCTCACAATTCAATATTAGCAACACAACAACACACACACATGTA